CCTCCCACTCCCCCCCCCCCTGGAAAGTTCCAGCCTCTTTCCATCATTGTAGTGAACGAACAAAATTAAGCGCTGAATTGATTCTTTTTGTTTGTTTCCTTTATTGTATCGGAAATTTGTACTAACTGAGTTAATGTATGTTATTTTTTCGTTACCGATAATAAATAATGATTATATAAACAACAAGTCGTAACGGGCCGGAACGAATTTAGAATGGACGCCGGGCGGTAATACCAAATTCATGACGTAGTATCGACATTAGACTTACCGATTTACCATCGTCAACGCCTCTCTGACCGTTCATAGTATTTCCAATATCGCGGATGGTGTAGCGGTTGTTCATTCGATCGGGTGCGACTGAAAATTTGATTGCCATAAGTCGAAACAACAGAATTATCGGAACTGCAATCCAATGATTCGCTAGATATTCCAATGAACTAAAAGAAAAAACCACACCTATGGAAAAGTCAAAAGTTGTTCCACGACGTCGAGCATCTGGATTAACCTCTTTGATAAGCGACGTCAACTCTCGAAGTGTGCAATCCATCCTTGAATGTGAGTATTAACAACAAATAATAAGGGTGCTTGTCCAATTGACTATCTTACCAGGTGTACATTTGAAGCTCGTTTGCGGGCACTCCACCTCTCATATAGTCGGATATTGGATTGTGCCTCCCATTAGCACAAAAAACTCTCAGGAGCAATGGACATGTCTGAATGTACGTAATCACTGCTGCGGATCTATTACTAATAAACAGAAGCAAGACTGCAAGAAAAACAAAAAAGAAAAAACAAAAATTAACTAAGTAGTACCTTCTCTCTGTCAACTGGCTTCTCTTGGTTAACAGCAACCTGGGAAACAACTGTAGCCATACTGAAAAAAAAAAAACTAAACTTGGAGCTAAAAAATGACGGTCTCAGATAAATGTGAATTTGAATGTGTTAAACCAAACTGAAGACTAGCACCCATAGGCTGGGCCAGATCCGCGATTCCCGTCGCAGAGTTTCGCTGATTTTCGCGATTCACGCGACGGGTCACGGAAATCACAAGTGCCCGATCAATACTGCAAGGTGTTCTCCAATCCTGCCGCCACTTCTGCTTGATAGTGATGGCTGAATGACGACTGCTCATGATTCCACTTGTTTCATATTCAGTGTTTCAAATGTTCACACACTTGCAATTTTTGCGATCCGTCGCGTGAATCGCGCAAATCGCGAAATCCACGAAACCTGCGACGACATCGCGGACTCTGACACCAGCCTACATAGGATGCGATATGCAAGCACGAAACGTAGTTTTAAACGGAGAAGCCGCGAGAAATGTGGCAACCAATCTCGCCGACATCACTTTTAGACCGCCTCAAAACTTATACATGGAAAATACATGTTCGCCTTTACATCTTGTTTGACATGATATTCATACAGCTTGCCTCTAATTCAACCCAGAGCTTGATTGCATTGTAACTGAAGGCATCCGCATCAACCGAATCTCCCTTGTTATGAACTTCCATATGTCGTCCCTTAAATTGTTACAAGTCCAAGTATAATGTGTAGTCCGCCACAAGGCCAACATGTAATGAATTAAATGAGCCATATGGAATCCATGTATTATCAAGCAGAATTACCTACGTCTTGGAAAAAGCATCTCTGCCCAGCAGCAAAAGTTGAAACAATTTCACACCGCAAAAACTTCCATCCGGTCGTTTGCTTCCTAACCCAGCTTAGCGATTCTATTATGAGTACCCAAGTGAGTGGGATCAGCACCAAGCTACTTCTCATGTTCCTTGTCTCGCCACAAATTGTAGTTAAGTTTGAGGTCCCCGGAACGGCTCCCCCACTTTCTTCACGATTTGGGGCGCGGCCGCGGCGAGCGCGGCCGAGTCGATAGTGCCCGCGAACTGTGTGGGTAAATTTGAAAACGCATCACCACCACAGTTCGCGGGCACTATCGACTCGTCCGCGCTCGCCGCGGCCGCGCCCCAAATCGTGAAGAAAGTGGGGAGAGCCCCCGATCTCTCTTTTCTGCGTTAGGGCTTGCAAAAGACCTGAACTCGGCGGTATTAGTAATAGTTCCAAGGATCCTGGCTACTCCGCTATAATCGCACGCCGCCGGACTGCACACATCACCCTATCACCTCTGCTTCTTCAACAAACAAAGGCCTAATGAAATCTGTTGAACTAAGCTACGCACGCAAGAGTCATGTAGAAGGTGAATTAAGAATTCTCTTTATATATTTAGGCTGATACTGGAGTACTGAGAATGGTCAGAAGGACAAAGACAATTTAACAAAAATGCCGTTACATTCATCTAGAAAGGAGAAAGGAAAAATTTCCAAGGTAACCCTTAAAATACTATTGAAAACGACTGCTGCATTGCGGGATGAAAGCCGTTCGCGGAAACAAGCGCGCGAGTCGGTTTTTTTGTTGCTTGCGAGCGCTCGTGCTGCGGTCATTCATGTTGGAGCACAGTAATTTACCAGCGGCTGTTGTGAAGTACAAGTAGCAAATACAGCGCTTTTCAAAAGTATTGGGTTGAGACATACATACACGTCGCACTTGGATGTTTAATTTTTGGACACAAACGTTTGAAGCAAAAATAAAAACATAAAACCAATCAGTGATGTGTTCACTTCGTCATATTTAATAAGGCTTTCAAATTCCACTTCGTATAGGAAGTCAACTGGATTTGGAGTGAAAGAAAGTTATTGCGTTCCTTTCTTGAAGTTCTTTGTGCACTTAGTCCTGGGGGGGCCACGGGCGGCGTCGGTGGACTTAAGTTTCTGCATCCGCAGCTGGTGGACCCTAATCTCAGAGTCCGAGACAGTGTAAACTCGAACATTTCAGCTTTTCACGCATGTCAAGTGACTGCCCCCACCCCCCAACCCCCTAGGCTGGCTACACTCCCCCCTGGCCCACGGATTTCCGAACATGCCAGACGAGCAGACTGCCGCGCCGCCGCGTGGCCCCCCCCACTAAGTTAGCACCCAATTTTTTTAGGCGTAATAACTTCTGACACAAATGCTGGTACAAATGAGCGAAAGAGGAAAAGAGAAAACGAGAATAGCGTCGGGCGAAGACCATATACCACAAGTGACGACGTCTTCTACAAAGTGTAAAAGTTGTAAAAGTTAGGTGGTTTTGAAATGTCGTTATCAACGATTATTTTGAACGAAAAAAGCTGGGCGCAATGTGGCTCGGGGGGGGGCACCTCGCAACATCGCGTCAAAATCACGGAAACGCTCCGTTTTAGGACTAAGCTTTTGAAGAGGAGAGGAACTCCGGTGTACGGAAGCAATTTTCGTATTCTCCGGAGTTCGTCCCTGCTGTTTAGGCTTAGTCCTAGATGACTTTTCTCAGAGTGCCCCCCCCCCCCGAGCCACATTGCGCCAAAAGCTGTATCAAAGCACATCAACCTGAATTTTTCTTCATCACGGTTATTGAATTTATTTACTGCTAAGGAGCGCGGCATTGACCTGGCTCGATCATGGTTGAACGGCGCCAAATCTGTGCGACGGTAGAACGTTTTAGCTCAACTCCGCGATTTTTTGTCTCGTAATTTTCGCGACATGTGGTCCTGCGTTATCGTGCCATAGTTTTATAATGGCCGGATTTCTCACTTGACGACGCAGCGCTTGGCCAACGCGGGCTGGCTGTCGTGCGCAGGGTTCAGCTGTAACTGTCTGACCAACAGCACTCCATAGTAGGCCAGTCCTATACTGTTTCACATGGACAAGCAGGACTTTTCTCCGTGGACGTCCAGTTTCGGAGTCATCCTCAGCTGTCCATCTGCTTCCAACCGCGGCCATCTTCTCACTTTGTTATCGGGGAACATCCTTTTGTAAAAGTGCGCTTACAACGAAGTCAAGAACCTTCTTCCTCTTGGAGTTATGGAGCAGAGTTCCAGTATTGGCAACCAGTACTGCTTGCTCGTGTCGCTCAGAATAGGCCGAACCCATTTTCTATCCTGAAAGGCCTTAACAGTCGCACGTAGAACTTTTAAATTTTCTGTTGACACAGCCAAATCTCCCTGCAAGTTTCTGTGTAGTTTGTCGAGGACTCAATTCGTTGGCTTTCTTTAATTCTTCATAGGTACAGGTCAATATCCGCTCTCCGTCCTCAAGTCCTTTACCTCAGTCTTGGAAGAGCTGAAACCATAGCTGGAAGTGCATCAGAGACTAAGTGTTGCTGCTCAATGTTTTGCACACAATGAGTGAGATTCGTTGGCCGTTTTCCTTTCATTTCATTTCGTTTCTGAACATATACGTTCAGACGATGTTTCTGACC